AATTTTTGCTCACAGGACTCCACAGCTTAGAGGGAACGTTGGCAGTAAGTACCATAAAATCCAACGGTCAAAGAAAGCGAAAGTGGCATGCAGTGCAGAGAGGGATTTCTGTTCCAAGGCGGGTTTCAGTAAAACAGCGGATCCTGCCAATGCAGAATCGCCCCGAGTGAGATTTGATGGCACAGGATGGGATGTCGGTGACCTCCGTAGCTCTCTACCTCTCCTCCCCATTCGCCAACAGTGAGAACGAATGACAGAGACTAGCCAAGAAGGAGAATGTGTTGGGCCAAAGAGCAACTGCACGTTTATGCAGGCTGCAAAACAGGGATTGCCTGCTCACGAGGAAGGGTTTTTAAATTTAAATTTAATTATTTTAGTGAGCAGAAGACACGGCCTGGCCAGGAATTACCATGCCATCAGCAGCACGAAGGACTGGGCTTTGCCAGGGTAGGGATCAGTGTTCCCTCTAATCGGGGAGAACCGGGTTCGATTCCCCACTCCTCCGCATGCAGCTGCTAGTGTGACTTTGGGTCAGTCACAAGTTCTCTCAGAGCTGTTTTCTCAAGGGCGGTTCTCGAAAGAGTTCTCTCAGCCCCACCAACCCCACAGGCAGTGTTCCCTCTGAGCTGAGTCAGTGTGAGCTAGCTCACAGTTTCTTAGCCTCCGGCTCACACATTTTTGTCTTAGCTCAGGAAGGGATGGCTCCGGAGCAAACTAATTGATGCCGGAGCCAAATCGCTCGCTCACAACTTTAATGCCAGTGGCTCACAAAGTAGAATTTTTGCTCACAAGATTCCATAGCTTAGAGGGAACATTGGTAGGGATGCCAGCCTCCAGGTGGGACCTGGGGATCGCCCGGAATGACAGCTCATCTCCAGCCTACCGAGATCAGTTGCCCTGGAGAAAATGGATGCTTTGGAGGGCGGAGTCTATGGCGTCATACCCCACTAGGGTCCTTTGCTCCCCAGGCTCCATCCCCAAGTCTCCAAAATTTCTCCAACCTGGAGCTGGCAACCCTTCCCGCCCCGTCCCCCACCAGTGGCCAAGGGAGACCAGGCAACCCTATGGCAGGGCTAGTGTTCCCTCTAAGCTGAGTTGGTGTGAGCGAGCTCACCGCTTTTTAGCCTCCAGCTCAGACATTTTTGTCTTTCCTCGGGAAAGAGGGCTCCAGAGCCAAATAATTGATGCAGCAGCCAAATCGCTCGCTCGCAGCTTGAATGCCAGTAACTCACAAAGTAGAATTTTTGCTCACAGGACTCCACAGCTTAGAGGGAGCGTTGGACAGGGCCCCAAATCATGGAGAGGCAGGCTGACCATTAGTCTCTGCTGCTACGATCCCTACTTGTGTGCACCGCTGAGCAATGACCCTCCCCCCATGCACAAGCACAAGAGGTATCTGGTGCAGTCTGCCGGCAGAGGTCTTGCGCGTGCATAGAGGGAAAGGTGCTGCCCAGAAATAACAGCCCTGGGCTTCGAAGTTCCTTCTCCTAGTCTCCGATGCTTTGAAGCTGGCTGGGTTTATGCCGTGGCCAAGGAAAGAACTTCATTGCCACCTTTTTTTTGGGGGGGGGGGAATGTCCAGGACAGAACAGAATTAGGAGGTCCCACTGACAGTCCTTCGGCCCACTGGCCTACGCAAGCTTAGAGCCCATTCTTGCCCATAGCTGGACGGCAGGGAGACTCCCTAGTGGGCAAAACCCTCCCAGTTCATTCTTCTCCAGACGACGGGTTTCCGTGACCTCAGCGGTAGTGAAATCGGCCACGCCCAGGAGTTGGGTGTTCACCTCCCACAGCTGGATCCCCCTTCTAGCCGACACGTGACCGGTCTCCAGCGGAAGTGGCCTCTCTGTGCCGGGACGGCGCCTCGTCACCCGTCGAAGCCCGGGCCACCTCCGTCTCCTCCGACCCGGCGGCGTGTCTCGAGTTGAGGTAGTAGGTTGTATGGTTTAGAATAACACCATCAGGAGATAACTGTACAGCCTCCTAGCTTTCCCTGGGACAGCGCCAAAACCACGAGAGACGGCTTGTCCACCTGCCAGCCGGGAGTCATCCGCCATAAGGGGTGAGTAGCATGGAGACTTCCTGCCGCTAGACACAATTTGGCTCCTTCTCAGCCTGCGATAACGCACCAGAATGCAACGCCATGTGCAGGGCTTGTGTGTGTGCATATGCCGCCATGCTGCACGAGCACCGGAGAAAAGCGGAAAACGTGGCGCCGGGCATGGGATTCATCCTCCTGAGAATGGGTGGTTTCTTCTTCACCAGGATTCTCTCCCTTATGGTTTCATAGATGCCGCTCGAAGTGTGCGGGCCGGACGTCAATTTGTGTCGCAAGCGGTTCGAAAGAGGCTTTGTTTCTAGCAGCGAGTGCACCCAAATCTTGGGACCAAGTCTCGCCTCTGGCCAAAGAGGTTTGGCAGGTTGGTGAGACGGCACAGCCCGCCGAACCTGTTCGGCCAGAGGAGAAGGTGGGAGGAGGAAACGGCCTTCGATTCTGCAATTAGAAAATATCAGCCTGTCACCAGATTCTGCGGACTGAGCAGCGTCCGAATCAGTTGTCTGGCGACTAAGGGGGTGGGGCCGTCGGTGGCCGCCATCGTTCCTGGCTGGCAAATTCAGGGGGAGGGGGGATTATGCACAAAGTAGAGCTTGTGGAGGAAATTATGCAGAAATAAAAGGAATTATGTGCACTTGCACAAGGCTGCAGAGTTAATCTTCTCCTGGTATGAGAAGTTCTGTGATTATTCCACAGAAACGTACAGTCCTGAACGTGAGTTTACTGAACTGTCCTTCTGATTTGTGTTCTCCTATGTGCAACTGGGAGGGATCAGTATTTATTGCTGTTTTCGATATTAACGTCCTGCCTTTCTTCCACGTCACCCCAAGAGCGGTGTTCAGGGGGCCTCCCAGCAGGTCTCCCAGCCTCAGAATCAGGCCCCCGTAGCCCCCAGCATGGTTTAATCAGGTGCCTTTCAGAGCTAAGAGCAGAAATATACCTTCCCCCGGAGGGATGGAGCTTTCACCCTGGGGCGACTGCCCTTCTGAGCCAGTGTGGTGTAGTGGTTGGAGCGCGGACTCTGATCTGGGAGAACCGGGTTTGATTCCCCCACTCCCCCACATGCAGCTGCTGGTGTGACCTTGGGCAAGCCACAGTTCTTTCAGAGCTGTTCTCTCACGAGCTGTTCTCTCAGAGCTCTCTCAGCCCCACCTACGTCACAGGGTGTCTGTTGTGCGGAGGGGAAGGGAAAGGAGATTGCAAGCCGCTCTGCGACTCCGAGTGAAAGGCGGGTTATAAATCCAATCTCCTCTTCCTCTTCTTCCTCCTCTTCCTCTTCTGCCTCCTCTTCTTCTTCTTCCTCCTCTTCCTCCTCCTCTTCTTCTTCCTCTTCTTCGAAATACCAGTCTTCTGGGGCTCGTGATCTACCTGGAGGGGAAGGGAATCAAGGGGGGAGGGCAAGGGGGGGTCCTGGAAGCGGTGTCAGTCATTGACCCTGGTACTAGGAAGGAAGTCAGGGGGAGAGAAGACAGGGCGGAGAAAGCAGGCGCCCCCCTCATCTGCCTGTTTTGTTTGCTTGTTTGTTTTGCCATCAAGTCACAGCAGACTTACGGCGACCCCGGTGGGGTTTTCGAGGCCAGAGACGTTCAGTGGTGGTCGGCCGTGGCCTGCCTCTGCGTCACGACCCTGGTCTCCCTTGGTGGCCGCCAGTGTTCCCTCTAAGCCGAGTTGGTGTGAGCCGGCTCACAGTTTTTTAGCCTCCAGCTCACACGTTTTTGTCTCGGCTCAGGAAGGAGGGCTCCAGAGCAAACTGATTGACGCAGCAGCCAAATTGCTGGCTCACAACTTTAATGCCAGGAGCTCACAAAGCGGAATTTTTGTTCACGAGACTCCACAGCTTAGAGGGAACGTTGGCTGGCCGCCCTTCCACACACTGACCTGGGCCGATCCCGCTTAGCTTCCACGACTGGGGCAAGCCTGGGCCATCCAGGTCTGGACCCTCCCCCCAGTTCCTTTCAGGAGCAACCTGACGGGAACAGAAAGGGGGCTTGGGCAGCATCGGAGATGCGCTGGGTGAGGCGGAACAATTTGTGCGCGTCTCTTCCTGTCTGCCAAGGCACATCTCAGCATCCGTCGCGTGTTTGGGTGTGCGGAGTTGAGTCAGCCCCCTGGGGGGGGGGGTGCCTTGGGGGTGTGTGTCTGAGGTCTGCTTGTGTGTGCTCTCCCAGCAAAAGCCTTCAACAGCCTGTTGCATTCGTCCCGCTTAGGACAAGTTGAAAGGGGGTCAGTGCAAGGTCTTCCCCCCCCCCTCCCCAGAGAACGTAGTATTTTGAACCATGGGGCAGATCCCTACTGCAGGCCCAGGCCGATCCTGTTTATCCCAAACCCATTCACCCAGAACGGGAAAGGGTACGATCCCGAAGGCCACCGTCTCCCATGCAAGCCTCTTCAGAGTTAATCCAGATTTTAAACCCATCGAGAGCAGACACGGTTAGACCGGACTAACTCCGCATAGGAGCGTTTGGACAGGATGGCACCAGTGTTCCCCCTAAGCTGAGTTAGTGTGAGCTAGCTCACAGTGTTTAAGCCTCTGGCTCACACATTTTTGTCTCAGCTCAGGAAGGGATGACTCCAGAGCAAACTAATTTATGCAGTAGCCAAATCGCTTGCTCACAACTTTAATGCCAGTAGCCCACAAAGTAGAATTTTTGCTCACAAGACTCCACAGCTTAGAAGGGAACATTGGATGGCACTCCGGGGGAGTCCTTCCCGGAGGATCCGACGCCGAGTTGTCGTTTTCTTTTCTTTCTTTCTTTTTTGGCGAGACGGTGTACGGACGCGTTGGGATACGCGGATCGGCCGTGGCTTCTAACCTTTTGCGAGAAAAGCTTGCAGTCTGAAGGATTCTTTGTCTGCCGTCGCTCCTGTTTGGGCTGCGAGCGACTGCCTGGTGTTGTGCGGAAGCCGTATTATGGGATGCCGTCTTTGTGAGCAAGCCTTTGCGATGGGGTTGCGAGACGGTACGGGTGGTGGGGGGGGTACCTGCGGGCACAGACCACCTTGGAGGCGGGGGGGGGCGGGAATCCACGGACGGAGCATAAAGCACATAAGAGAATATTCTGGCAGGACCAAATAGAAGATTCCTCCTGTCCGGTCGTTCTGGCCCCGACAAAGCTCAGAAACCAGCTGCGAAGGGATGGCCATTTGTCACTTTCCTCCCTGCCACACAGAGATGTACTGCCACTGAATATGGAGGCTCTATTCCCATGGCCCTGTGAATTTAGCTTTTTAATATATATATATATATATGAAAAGCTGCTGGCCACGGACGTTGTTACAGAGTCGGTGCAAATTGCCCCGCGGTGTTGCGTGGTCCACTTTGAGGCTGCACGGTCTGGCCTGTGAAATGTCGTGTTCCCACATGTGGGTAGTGTCACCGTGGGTCGTCGCGGGCTCCCGACATGCGGTGGTCCAGGCAGCCCAGTGCGTCTCAGCCTGGGCTGCGGTGGCTGGCGTGTGTAGGGCTTTTGTGTGTTTGTGTGTGTTGCTTTTTGCAGTCTCCTTGTTTCCCCCACCTCCACCACCACTGCTAGAGTTGGCACGCTGCCTGCTCTCGCCTCTCGGGCACGGCTTGTGGGGTCCGCGGGGCTAAAGCACTGGCCCGGCCCCACCTGCCCGGCTCACCTGCGGCTCATTGTCTCGGTTTGATGCCATTTGAATTTTTCCTAGCCAGCCAGCCTCCCCTCCCTGTCCTCTCCTCCGCCGCTCCCTCTTCTGCGCTCCCTCCCTCCCTCCTTCCCTCTCCCTCTCCCTCCCTCCCTCCCGCTCCCCCCCCCCTGCCGTCTGGATCTAGGCAAGTCTGATAAAGTTCCATTCCAGACAACAGCCGCATTGCGTTGCTACAGCATAGACAGCGGCGCGGCCCAGGGAGAGGGAGAGAGAGAGAGAGAGAGACGTACAGCCAGAACAAGGCGGCGATGGGGAAGCAGGGGAGAGAGAGAGAGAGAGCATCCGTCAACGGCACTCCCCTGCCAACCTGAGCCAACGCCAAGGACGAAGGATGGCAACCGAGGAGGGCGGATGGCGGAAAGGACCGGAGCAGGTTAAATCTTCGCCGCCAAGGAGTCCGCGGGGAGGGGGGAGAAAATCGGCAAGGGAATCGGAAGGACCCGGGAAGCAGGGGGGGTGGGGGGAGCGAGAGAAACAGGTGATGAAGACCAGGGGG